CCTACTACAAGCTGTAAGGGGGTAATTAACTTTCGTGTCCGCTCGGCTGACAGCTATTTTGCGTGAACCCCCAGGGAGTTAGGTTGATCTAAAGTAGATCGATCTAATCTCTGGAAATGGGGTCTAAGTCTGATTTAACATAGTTCCAATCAGGGCTTCTCCTAGGATTTGGGGTACAGGGTCTACTAATTGTAAATCTGCAATTTGATAACAGATTCACATGAAGTTTAACCACAGCTAGCGGGAAGTGGGGAGGGGGTACTGTTAAATTAATTTTATTAAAATATTCAAAATTAATGATATTTGAATATAGTTCAATGAAAAGTTAAATAATATTCATTTTATAATACTTAACTTTTATTTATGTTAAGAATTTAACTTCTTTAGGGGTTATCATGTGTTTGATTTTTTTTTTAATATATGAATTAAATAATATCAGTATAAAAAGTTCCCCTTCTTTTTATTTAAATTCTCATATTTGTTATTACCACCGTAATTTCTTCCTTACATCAATATCACACTGGTATATGACAGCAATGTTAATTTATCATATTCCAGCACTAATGTTTTTAACTGTAAATAACATAGGTGATGCTAGAGTCATTAAAGAAAACGTCATACAAAATTTCAGGTCATATTTTGGCAAATAAACAACATTTCAACAAGATCATCAGTCCAAAAGATTTCACTTTCTATAGTGAGTAGATAGCATACAACGTATTTGATTGACAGGCAGTATGTTGCCTTGACAACGAACTAGATATAGCCAGTTCATCCAGTTCAATCTGGCTTTGTACCCAGTACAGTACCTGTGTAGTTCCTGTTTTTGGAACGGTCTTTATTACCAAAGCACGTAGAATTTGAACTAAATAATATTTAGTAAAGAACCTGAAATGTGAATAAATTTTGTCTGATGAAGTTCTGGAGGGTGTTCTCTTTCATAATTTGGCGGTAAGTTTACTCAGACTTCGTTTTGCGACTGCATGTGTTTTGTGCCAAAAGTAGGTCACTCTTTTCAATGCCGTCTAGGAAGAGAATAAAAGACGTTAGGATGCAACAAAAAAAAAAAAAAAAAATTTTTTTAAAGACTTTTGCTCCAAATTTCTCACAAAACATGACCTGTCCGTCGGACAGCCAACCCTGCAACTTCACCTGTCCGAACTGAATTTTTACCTGTCCCGGACAGGCGGACAGGCGCTAATGTCGAGCCCTGAACTGACCTCACTGCTTTAAATATATTAAGTAGATCTCTAATACATCAACAAAACACTCAGCATCTTAATTTTCTTTAAGATTTGAGTGTTCTTAAAAAAGTGTCAATACTTTAAATAGCAACTAAAATTTAACTTTGTTTGGATAACTTAGCATACATATAAGCCATATAAAGCCAGGCAATACAATTCAGTGATGTCCACAATGATATTTCTGAACTTAACTTGCATGCTATGATTTATCTAATGTATCAAATGCATCAGGTATGCCACCATACTAGTACATGTTTGATGTGAAAACATCTTTCTTATGTGATTGTGAATTAATGGTGTCAAAGTTAACAGTGATCTTAACTAAGTACCATTTCACAGTGAATTCAATACATTAGGTAGGACACTGAATACATGAGGTATACCCACCTCCAGTGATCTTAGCCTCTCCAGTCTTACAGCCGCCCAAAGTTTTACATTCTGTCTGCAGTAGTCTTTGACCAGCAGCAGAATGGATGGCTCCATCAACTAATATAAAAGGGAAAATAATAAGGGGCTACGTGATGCATTTATTGTGAAATATGAATCACATACGAATAGTTGTTATAACTTGAATTAAAAAAAAAAACTGTCCACACTTTCATTTCTCTGCCTTATTGACCCAGATTATAATCCAGTATCAAACATTTATATTCAGACTCATAACTTATTCCCTCAAACTATCTTTGTTTAAAGCATAACATCACTAGAAAAAACAACTTCCAGAAAGAGCAATTTTCCAAATTTGGATTTCATTAGCTTCTGTGAGGGCAAATTTGGTTGTGTTTTCCTACCTCCACCTCCGCCAGCTAGAGAGCTATTGGCAGCATTTACTATGGCATCAATCTCTAATTTAGTTATGTCTCCTCTGAACAAGGCTATCTTCTGATTCAATGTCTGGTTTACTTCAAATTTTGGCTGAACTTTATCTGAAATGATATGGAAATTTTCTTAAAATGATTACTCATTTGTCAAACCCCACAATTCTTCTTAAACCTAAAGCAAGATATAATTAAAAAAAAAAAAGGCAAAGTAATAATATGACTGTCACAAAGATTGTTTAACACACACACTTCATGTCTCCTCCATCCCAGATTACCACAAACATTTATTGTCCCACTTATACCAAGAAAACAGGCAACACAGAATACTGTTGAACGGAACACTGAAGCTGAAAGCTGGAAAACTTCTTGCTTAGTTCATTGTCATCATCAGCCTGATCGTCTGTATACCAAAGATTGTTGGCACACTCCATGGACCAAGCCCTTTCACTTCTTTCTATTAAGTGCCATCCTCATGATCTCTTTTAAACTTTTTCTTGTTCATTTTTGCATGTTGTCCTTCTATCTAAACCTCAGCCTGCCACGCTTTGAAATTTAATGTAAAAAACTCAGATTTTTCCAATTGCAGCTGGTGGCCCAGAAAAATAAGCTTCCTTTCTTTGATCTTGTTCAATACTTTGTGATTAACAAACACTTAAACACAGAGTTCTTCAAGAACACTGTCATTCGTTTTTCTTTTCCACCACGAGATGCATAACATTCTTTGATTAATCCACATTTCAGCTGCATCTATTTGTTTCTCCCACATCAAGCACAAGCCGAAAAAAAAATTTCATATTGTTAGCTTATGGTCAACCTGGATGTAGGCTTTCAGCAGACCGATGTGAGTAGATATTGTTACTCATTGACTGCTAGGTGTTATAGCAGCCAGGACCCTCTTATAAATGTCAGGTAGATTGACCCCTTATGTTTAATAATTTTCATTTAGTATCCAACTACCAAGCTAATGAACATTTTTGCTTAGTTGTACCGTGTTTCTTGTTAGAAATAATTTATATGGTAGAATACAGACATGCTGAAACTGTCGGTCCGATCGTTCATGACTGGCAAAATTTGTCTGGATCGGTAAAAAATTGGACTTGGTTGGTCCAAAGGACCGACAAGAGTTTTAAGAGCTGCAATTTTGAATTCACAGTCATCATTTGACATCATCATCATTCCTCTTCGTCCCGTGTGGGACATAGGGCCACAGTCACTTCTTTCCACTTGGCCCTATCTCTGGCTATGTGCTGGGCCCATCATTTGACATACTTCACTAATAAAATTATTTAAGACCCAAAACGT